CCTTTCTATGGGTTTTTCGCTCCATATTTCTCAAACGCTTGAATATTTCCATTAGGGAATTCACATTTAGCAAGACATTCTCCAACATTATCACTGGTGACGTTTTTGTTAATTGGATGGCTGTTTTATGCCAGAAACAGTCTATGAACCACAATCCCCTTGGGAAGGGGTTCACATTTCTTGCTATGTGGCAAATGATTGAGTTGCAAAACTCCATCGTATTTCCTGATATCACAGATCACTTTCAATATCAATTGTGTCAATTGGTTTTTCTTGGAAACAGAAGCCAAGATTGAGTCCAAATTGCAAAAAATATGTTGAGGTGAAGTATCTGTGGAAAAAAAAGAGGGGGACAGATAGGAACATCCAAGGAAAACCTTCAGCATGTGATAGAGGCCTGACATCTGTGAAAGGAGAGAAGGAAGGCCAGAGGGTTGGGTAGAATGAGCCTCACAGAGTAGTGCATTTTTTAGAAAAGCCTCAGTTCACCTCCCAGGAGCTCCTTTGGAAAGACTGATTTTTGGGAAGCCCCGTGCTGCCTCAGAATTCAGGCCCTCATGCCACTCTGACTGAGCAGTGTCCAGGAAACATGAGGCCTTAACTCAAAGTTGAGGCATAGTTTGCTCTGATCAAACTGTACTTCTTTCATAAGGCTTTAAAAAACATTTTTTTTTAATCCTCACCCAAGGACATTTTTCATTGTTTGCTTGTTTGTTTATTTGTTTTGAGAGCAGGAGAGAGGGGGAAAGAACATTGATATGAGCTAGAAACATTGATTGATTTGGTTGCCTACTCCTAGGCTACCGGACCAGAGACCAAACCTGCAACCTAGGTATGTGCCCTGACTGGAAATGAACCACAGCCTCTCAGTGTGTGGGACAATGCTCCCACCAACTAAGCCACACCAGCCAGGGTGATAGAGTTTTTTATGAAAGTAGATCTGAATAGCAAACCTCTATGGCTGACTAAAGACTTCTGAGTAATTACAACAATTTATTCAACAGCTAAAATTTTTATCACAACTCAATATAATAAACACTAAGAAATATGAGATTAAAGAAAACCACCAATACTGTTTTGTAACAATCTTCTTTAACAATTTGCTATTTTTCTCACTCTTCCTATACTCATATTTAGTTATAATATCTTCCTAACTTTATTGTTTTATCAAAAACATGCCTTCTAACTTTTTATTCCTTGAAATGAAATGTATTATATTTTCTTTATTCACATATTGTTTTGTGTAAAATATATTTTTATCTTTTTTAGTGAAAGAAACCTAATAACCCGAATAAAAAAGGTTATATACATGCACATACAAACCTGTAACCTCTGCAAAATATTGACTTATGAGAAATAAAAGTTATGTACTGTTTTGTATCTTCAAGAAGCTCACAGTCAGCTAATGAAAGGGCAGAGTTAGGTTGTCTTTTCTCACTGTTCCTCCATTCCCTCTCCTGCTATCACAAAAATAACACTGCCCTTTGTGGAAGATAAAGACAGCATCCTCTTTCCAGTTCCTGCTAGTTTCTGCTAAGAGAGATTAATTTGCCAGGATGTGAAGATGTTGATCTTCGTGAAAGCCAGTCTCTTGCCTAATTAGGAAAAGTTTTCTTATCCGTATTACTAGCTGGCTTCCTGCTTCTCCTTAATGATAAATAATTTCATGTTGGGTGAAATAAATTCTTCATTCAATTGTTACTAGTGCAAGTATTCCAATCAGGAAATACAGAACATAATAAAGGACTTATCTTTTCTAAAGCCCAAACCCTAAACTCCACCTCTAAACATAGGTCTCAGATAACTACATCACAGCATTTTAAAACACATTTAATCAAAATTTCTTAAAGATTTTCAAAGTGATTTCAAGCATGTATTTTTTTCAAGTGACCTCTAGAAAATTACTTCTGGGTAGACAATATTGACTTAATTGTTAGGGGCCTGACTTGCTTCGTTAAAAAATTGTATTCTTGTCCAAACACTCAATGGTACCAAGTCATAAAATTAACGTATTTTTATAATCATATACTTATTTAGTTCTTTAGCATTATATGCCAATTATTAGGCTAAATACTCAGAAATTTACACACCAGAAATATTAACTGGATCTATGACTCTGAACTATGTAATAGACACCACTTATTTAATCCTTTTTTAAAAAAGAAAAACTCTGATTGTCCAGAATAAAAATGAATAATTGTTTGTACTAAGTAGGTGGCTATTATATATTGCTGTTTATTGAAAATGCAAAAGCCAGAGATCATACCCCTCGAAGGAGGGCATGTTCATTCACTTTGTTTTATGAGTTCAACTTTGCACATTTGCTTCACATATCTCACATTGAACAACTTAGTGGGTACAACATCTTCTCTTGTTTTTCTTGTCTACCCCAAGCCTGTCTCTTCTTCTAACCTAGAACGTGACTAATGTACTTTAGTTGGGAAAGTGTGCAGTTGCATTGGTTCTCCTAGCTAGACTGTTGCCTTAGAACACTGTGCAGTAAAAGACTATTCATAGTGAATTGTCCTCCTTTTGAAATGAATTTATTCCATTAAACTCCTGAGGTAATCAGCAGACACAGTACAAATTGCACAAGAATCTCTTCCCTTTATGCATGTTATTTTGTCCAACATTTTATACAACCAAAGCTAGAAATGGCACAAAACTTAGGTCAAATCATAAGTGGAAACAGTAAGCAAAAGGAACAACATTAATACCTGTTTGGAATGGTAGCATCTTGAGAATAAAGGAGTTTTAAATGTGGTGAGGTTGCTATATTGCAGAGGTTAAGATGACGGACTTTTGGAGTATTGGACATACTGGCTGTGAGGCATTGTATAGTTTCCAATCTATTTAAAGTATCAATAATACCTTTATTATGAGTTTCGTTAAAGAACAAATTAAATTATCTATATAAGCACTGACACACAGCTTTGCACAGAGTAAGTATTCAGTAAATTATTATTAATCATCCGTATAACATAATAGCTCCAGAATATTATATTTATTAATATAAAAATATTTTGCAAAAAGTGAGTATTTGCTTTTTATAATTCTCTTTTTTAATTTTTATTTTATTATTTTAAATTTTATTTTAATTTATTTTTTCAAATACATTTGTCTCTGCCTACCCCCCATTACTTCCCCTTGTCCCCTCCCTCCTTCCCTCCCTCAGCTCTTCCCCTTTGGTTTTGTCCATGAGTCCTTGCTATATGTTCCTTGACTTTCCCCTTCCCTTCCTTGTCCCCGCCCCCCCCCCCTTCCCTCTTGTCTCTGTTGATTTCTTTTCCTTTCAGTGTTGCCGGTCTTATTTTCCTTGCATCTTTGTATTGTTGGTTAGGTTCCACTTATAGGTGAGATCATATGGTATTTGTCTTTCGCTATACCACCCTGAATGCGCCCGATCTCGTCTGAGTATTTGCTTTTAATGTTCTACCAAAATATACCAAATTCTAGAAAAGTTATTAAAAACTGGATTGGAACAGATGATCAATTACTAAAAATATGATAAGAGAAATATGTTTGAATCCTAGGACCCATATGGTAATTTAAATAGAATAATAATTTAATAACATTAAGATCAACCAAATGAAATAAATTAATTTCTAAATTATTACATAAAGTTAAAAGAAATGAGGAAAAATTCCCTGAAGTCATGGAAACACCTGAATAACTTTTTGTTCTCCTAATTCTGCTGTCTGGAGATGTATATGAGAGGCTTTAAAAATTTGAAATTTATGGCACACATACTTTGTCTAATATATTTCAGAATAAAGGCCATTGAAAAGACTCACAAATGGTTTGTGGGTGGGCTGGTACTCTCACTGTAATGGCTAATTCTTACTCGATACCCAGGTTACCGAGCTCTGGGATCTGTCTTTGGCCAGAAGAGCTTTGGCTGAGACTTGAGCCTTATTAACAGGTTACAAACTTGTGTCTCTGGAGACCTGAATGATGTTTTAGCATGTCTGGATCACTTGTGGGATCAGTCTCAATTTTTATGATGTGGCCTAATGTTAATACCATCTTCTATGGATTTAAAGTCTAGCAACTTGGTTTGACTTGGATTAAGAAAAAGCCTAGGTATAGGAGCCTTCTCTCACAATCTGAAATGCTGACTACACATTGTAAACTCAGAGCTCACACCATGTTTGTACTACTTGTGATGAATAACCATGTGCCAACGCCAAGCACAGAGTAGGCTTTAAGTGAATAAATCAACTGTTGCCTAATCGAAGGATAAAGATTTCAAATCAGTTAGATGTTTTTGCCCACTTTGCTTCTTCTGGTGTGATTTTCAGTCATTATGGAGCCCAGTTTACAGGTTTCTCTTCAGATCTGGCCACTGGCCCATTCCTTAAGCCCTGGGCTACATGATACTTCCTTCCATGATTAATGATTCCAATGTTTAATCTGATCATTTCCATTTGAGGTTAACAGCTCAACATAATTTCTTGAATCCCCTTATAACTTGTTATTCGCGAAGCACTCCACTTTATCCCATCCCCTGCCCCTCTACCATGAGAAAGGTTTTGCAGTTTTATAACTAAGAAACATTATAAGCAAACTGCAAAAGCAGCAGAGAAAATTTTTTTCTTTCCAGAACAAATACTAAATCAATCTCTATGCTTAGCTAAACCAAGTAATTTCTGACTTTGTTTTTTGCCATCATAAACATAAAATTCATGAATAAAGACAACTAAAGAGGGTAGCAGAAGAGCTGTTATATTTAATTTAACATGGGCCCATAGTTTGATTAGTTCTGGCTTCAACTCAGTGAGAAGAAGAAATTTATTCTTATATTAGAGGATCCTAACTCAGTAAGAATTTCCATATAGGTTTTACAGTCTAAATTTACTATTATTTTTATCATCATCATCATCATTATTATTTTCCTCTTCTGCTTATTTGTCCTCTGTATATCTTCTTTGTAGAAAACTCTGTTCAAAGCTTTTGATTATTTACTGTTTATTGTGGGTTTTTTTTTTTTTTTTTTTTGCAGATGTCGTCCCCTATTCAATCTGGGCTGCCACACAGACAGAAAGCAAGCGCGGGGATTATTTTCTTTCGCATCCTAGTGCAAACCAAAAGAACTTATTGTGTTTTTTATTTTGTTTTTTGATAATTGGATTTTGGAAGTGTTCTTTATATAACATGGATACAAGTTCTTTATCAGGTATGTGATTTGCAAGTATTTCTTCTTCATCTATGGCTTGTCCTTCTCATTCTCCCAAGAGAAGACAAGATCCTGGACTTGAGTGACTCTGGTATCCTTTCCACAGAAAAAAGTCTCCTCTATGACTTTTATAGATCTAAATTTGTTTGCTTATTTTTTAATTTAGATAAAGCAATATATATATGTGAGGGAGGGCCTCCGTCCAAAAAAAACCAAACAAACAACAAACTAGAATTATCTTCTTGAGGGCCGGCCCCTTTTAGTACAGGCTTCTCCTGCTATGTGAGTGTTCTAGGAACCCACTGGTATCAACATGCCAGCTGGTGTTTTGTGAGAGGCTGCCTTGGCTTCAGTGAGTTCTTTTTGAAGACTCCTTCAACATGTTTGCCCATTTCATGATGGGTAATTTATGAGCGTACCTGCCCACACCATGCTGAGTGTTCAGAAGTTTTTGACACAGAACAGCATGACCCCCATGCCTCACCCTCCCTATTCACTCAATCTTACCCCAATGACTTTTTCTTTTTTTGCTTCTCCAGATGAGAGAAGTCCTCAAAGGGAAACATTTTGCTGATGTGGAAGAGGTGAAACAAAAATGGCAGAACTACTAAAAGACATCAAAGTCAGCAATTTCAAAAACTGTTTTGAGCAGTGGGAAAAAATCTCGATAGGTGCATTGTATCAAAAGGAGAGTCCCTTGAAGGTGACTGAAGTTTAAACATGTAAGAATAAATACACATTTGTTTATAAATAAATACCATTTTGGGGGGTTCTCCCATATATATTTAATTAATCATAATTTTCTCATGATATCCAATAAATCTTTGCCTAAGGAAACTTTCATAGTTTTATATTTTACACTTAGGTCTATAATCCATTTTGTGTATGTTGCAAGTTATGGATAGACAACCTTTTTTTGCATATGGAAATCTATTGTTCTAGCACCATTTATTGAAAAATTATTCTTTCTCCATTAAATTGCTTTTGGACTTTGGACAAAAATCAGCTGAAGATATATGTGTGGGTCCATTTCTAAACTCTATTCTATTATATTGATCTATGTGTCTAATTTTATGCATACCCCACACTGTCTTGGTAGATTTATAATGTCTTAAAGGCAAAAAATTTAAATTCTTCTAGCTTATTACTCTTTTACAAATAATTTTTTAAAAACCTATTCTTGATTCTTTTTTTATTTTTGTAACAATTTCAGAATTACAGTAATGCTGGTCTCACAGAATGTTTTAGGAAGCGTTTCTTCCTCCTCAGTTGTCCTAAAGATGTATTTTGTCATGTTAGTATTATCACTTCTTTCATAAATATTTGGTAGAATCCATAAGTAAAGCCATCTGGGCATGAAGTTCGCTTTGGAATTTGAGGATGCTTGATCAGGAGGGCAAGATTTCACTGATTTGGAGACACTGTCTGAAGAAAAGAGGTAAGTACCTATTACAGGTATTGGTTTCCTTTTGAATTTCAGTCAACTCAGCTGTCCAGGGTTTATAAACTGCCTGATCCATAAGCGTTAACTCCTAAATAATAAAACATCCAACCAATGAGCCCACTTCCCAGCAAAGAAGGTACAGCAACAGGCTGCATCACATACCAGAAAATGCAAAAGAAATTGTCTCATAAAAAGCTGGAACACGCTTCTAAAGACACAACTAAAGCATCAGATCAGAGAAAAAAATTGGGAAGGATAATGTGACATCTTTTATTATGCAGTATTGACATTAAATCAGATGTCTTTCTATTGCTGCATCCAAAATAGGGAGAATATATGGTATCTTAAATTTAAGGTATAGAAACAAGGTGGCCCCACTTACCGTCACAGTTGAAGAAGAGAATACTATCACCTTGTGGTTAGAGGCCAATGATACTAACATTCTACAAGGCACAGGACAAACCTCCTACCCCAAAGTTATATCCAGCTCCAAAGCCAACAGTGTCAAAGAAACTTTACCGTAGAGTATATACATTTACCAGGGAACAGCAAGGGAACTACTATACTACCAGGGCACGTAGGACTCCTTGTCACAAGAAAAAGAGTTACTGCCATGCAAGAGTAATTGAACCTCACTGATAGAAGGAGGAGAGGCTACTTTTACACAATGGGATGGGGATAAATATGTGCAGAACTTGAGACCCTTCTCATACTCCCCATCCCTAAATTATGAATGGACACAAACAACTGCTTCTGCTAAGACAGGAATGATTGCCAAGGGCTCAGATCTATCAGAAATGAAGGTTAAGTCAAAAGAACCAGGTAAGCCAGGTAGAACCACTGAAGTGATAGCTGAGGGTGAGAAAAATGCAGAACGATCAGTGGAGGAAAGACTGGATGAGTAACAGTTTCTGCCCCAAGACCAACTGCAGTAAGGGTTTGGGGAAGTTGTAGTTTTTCCCATTAACCTAATTCTACATATTCTCTCAGCAAAAGTGGCCCAAGGGCACCACTGAGAAGCTTCTCCCTAACACACAGGGGTAACTGGCACAAGGTGTGGACTGTGATAGCTCTGAGGTGCACAGGTCAGATTTCCCTTCAAGAAAAACTTGCCACAAGTTCTGCAGCTAGCTAACTGCCTCTGGCTGCCATGTTGCTAAGATCAGCTTCAACTTCTAATTGCTAGTTTTGCTTTCTTGCTACTTAATATAAAGTGCTATACATGCATATAAAGTTGGAATAATAGACTGATTTATTATTAACATGAATTACAATATATAATCGGTAGTGGCTTGTCAGATGTCTATGACTGCCGTTAGCATTCAGCTTCCTTGTTAACATTTTTCCCCCTCCAAGAAAGAGCTGTTAATTTGCATTTCAATTTATATTTCTTTTTGTATTCTCTGCAATGGAAAGGAAATGCATATTTAATTGTAACTTACCTGTAGAAGTCGGCTGGTTAACAAGGGAGATGGAATTAGTAAAATAATCATATTTCAGGGGATGTATTCTCTGCATTTTGCTGACAGTCACCATCGGCCTGACATACTTTGCCTCTTTTCATACTGACTCTTTATTACACTTCTGTTTAATCTCAGTCATTGACCGTTTCCTAGTTGTTTTTTGTTTTTATCATGTGGCATCTTAGCAAATTTGATTTATAATTCATTTTATGTGTTTGAATATACAAGGTAGGGCAAAAGTAGGTTCACAGTTGTGAGTATGCAAAACAGAGTTTATTGTTAAATTCTTTATTAATTATTGTATTAGTTTCCATATGAACAACTGTAAGCCTACTTTTGCCCCACAATGTTGTATACCTTTCAAATTTGGAATATTCCCCTTTCCACAAGATTTCTTGTTTTTATTTAAAAATTTTTGTTGGTATTTCAATACATCTGTTTGAAGAATAATATTCTCTATCAATAATTTTTAAAATATTACTTATCTTTCTCCCTTTGGCCCTTTCTCCTTCCGTCCTTCCCTTATGATATTCATTTAGCTTCTGCCTAAGATGCTTACATTTGATTTTTCTTGCCATGTAGGTCAGTGAAAGCTTATGGCTATTAGTCTCAGGGCTTCGATTATTTGCTTGCTCAGGCACATTTGTATAATTAAGTGGTTTTAAAAAAGAATTCTTTTTTAGTAATTAAAAGTAAAACTTTAAGAAGTAGTGGCACTACAGTATGAATAAAGACAGAATCATTCCCCATTAATTATAAGGGGACTAAATGATAATGCAAAAAGAGACATGAAAAGGAAAAAAAAATTATAATGGGCATAGATACATCCAAAATGAAGGAGTGTAGGAGACATTAGCTTTTGAAAGTGATCTAGCCCAGTTGACAGAGTATTGCAAAATAGTTCCAGTCAATATTCTAGTGGATATGTGAATAAATAAATACTTACATTTTATAAGATAGAGGGATTCAATATTAACGAAGTTGCCCTAAATTAATAATCCATTGCAAATGTTGCAGGTAAAGTTAATCAGTGATAAGTTAATTTTTAAGCCTGATTAATATTGTATATTTTACTTACTTTTTGGGTTTTTTAAAAATATGCAGACAATTAACCAGATTAGAGGCTTAACATATCAAAAGGCTTTTTTTTTTTTTTTAAAGGAAAGAACCTCGAGAATGAGAATTAACACAGGTATAATCCATCACTGTCTGGTTTGAGAATTGAACCCACTACATCCACATAACTTAATTATTGGGACCGAGAACTGAACACACCTGTGTCAACATGACTCAGGTATTTGTTCCAGGAAAATTCTCACTCAGGAAGATAAAAATATAACCAATAAATAAGTTCACTCTTGGCTTCAGGAGATCTGTACGAACCAATCTGGGCAAATAGTTTGATCTTCTAGGCCAACAGCTATCCTGTCAGGGCAATAAATTACTTGCCTGGCCAACAGCTCACTTACCAAACGATGTTTTACTTCCTGGGTCTGCTTCCCCTCACCTCACCGGGCCCACCAAATCTCTGTCTTAAACTATCCAATCTCAATTAGTTTCAAGTCTTGAAAGATCAACCTTAAACCAAGTGTGACCAGTTCACAAACATGACAGATACCCCACTGTGGCCCCCCCCTTCAGAGGCAGACTTAGCTTTGCTTGACTGACATGTTTTCTGTGGTTTTAGGGAGTAGTTGATGGTAATAGCCAAAGCATGCCCAGCAGTCCCTCACCGCTACCCACACCATTCACATATCACTATTGGCTCCATCATACTCTATGTAGATTCCAACTGGACTAATATAAAAAATTAAACACACATTAAAATTAAGAAAAGAAAAATTCTTCTCTATGAAACTTTTCTCATTCTTCTGAAGAGCTTATTTGACCAAGCAGATGCTTAAAGTACAAACCTTGTTAATTCTATACTTAGACAAATACATTTGGATGTAAACAAAATGTAGGTAATAATAACCGGACTCCATGACCATAGGCAAAGAATCTAATCTTTCTAAGCCTCAGCTACCTCAACTGTAAAATAATGATAAT